AGCCTCAATCTTCTTGGGGTTGGCCTCAATTCCTCGTTGGTTGACCATGTACCCCAAGAACTAGCCGGAAGCCACTCCAAAGGCACATTTAAGCAGGTTGAGCCTCATCCTGTACCTTCTGAGGATTTGGAAGGTATTGTTGAGGTGCGCTATGTGGTCCTCTGCTTCTAAACTCTTCACCAGCATGTCATCTACGTAGACCTCCATTGTCTTGCCAAAGAGGTCCGTAAACATTTTGTTCACGAGTCTTTGGTAGGTTGCTCCGACGTTTTTCAACCCGAAGGGCATCATTCTATAGCAATAGAGACCTCGGTCCGTGATGAAAGAGGTGTGCTCTTCATCAACCGGATGCATGGGGATTTGGTTTTAGCCGGAGTATGCATCAATGAAGCTCAACAACTCGTGCCCGGTCGTGGAGTCTACCAATTGGTTAATCCTTGGAAGCGGAAAGCTGTCTTTCGGGCAAGCTCTATTGAGGTTGGTAAAGTCGATGCATACCCTCCATTTGCCATTGTGTTTCTTAACCAGGACTGGGTTGGAAACCCACCTCGGATAGGTGGCCTCCCTGATGAAGCCATTTTGGATGAGCTTCTGAACCTCTTCCTTCAGGGCCTCATACCTCTCAGGGTTGAGGGCTCTCCTTTTTTGTCTATGCGGGGCAACCTTAGGATCAATTTTCAAGTGGTGGCAGCTAACCTCGGGGTCAATGCCCACCATGTCCTCATGCCTCCAAGCAAAGATGTCAAGGTTCTTGCCTAGGAAGTCCTTAATCTTTTCTCTCAAAATGTTAGATAGGCCTTTGCCTACCTTCAGCACCTTGGAAGGGTCTCGGGGGTCGGTCGAGAAGCTCTCAAGTTCCTCTACAGGAGATGCTTGAGGCTCATGTTCCATTATGCGGGGGTCAATCTCATCAATGATCAGCACCTCCGGATTAAGTGATGCGTCAATCATATCAACATCTTCTTGTTCAGTGGGAGCGTCACCTGGGACATCCGCCATGACCACATCAGCCATGATCACGTGGATGTCCCAGGGCTCTACCTTCTTAATGGAGCTTAGATAGCACTCTCTCGAGCCTCTCTGGTCGCCTCTCACTGTTGCCACCCCGTTTTCTGTCGGGAATTTCATGCATAGGTGGTGGATGGAAGTGACTGCTCCCAATTCCTTTAGGGCTGGTTTGCTGATTAGCATCTGAAATTGCTTAAAGATATATCATTTAGAAGGCATTTTACATTCACTTTGTTTAAAAACGCTAATGTTAGTCTCTAATTCCAATTCTCATGCCATAAATTCAATTTCCATAAATACATGGTTAAAAATGCAATTAATTGAAATACGTATTTACATACATGGTGGCATGAGTATTATACATTTGAAAGAGTATCTATTTGATGTATTTCACTTGTATTTCCAAATTAGAACAAGTGGAGCAAGTGGAGGAAAATAATGTTGAAAAGTCAAAAATAGTGACTGCCTCAAGCAAGAAGCAGCTGTTGGTAAAATAATCATAACTTGAGCTTCAGACATTGGATCGAGGTGATTCAAGTTGGGTTGGAAAGAAAGGCACGTTTCTACAACTTTCATGTTTTGTAAGAAGTCAAATTCGTATCACAAGGCAGCCAAAATTACCGTGCAAAGTCCAGCTTGTTGCCTGCCGGATACAGCTTTACCTGTGAAGCAGCACTTATTGTTTTTGTCATATCTGGAGTTATATAGATCCAATGAACCTGACATTTGAACCAATGGAAAGCTAACTCAAGTGGCAATAATTTATCTGTTGATCATAAGTCCAAATTCGCTGCACAATATATCTGAAAATTGGCATCAAGTTGCATGTTCCAGCTGTCTTGAAGCTGGACAGAAACAAGTTGCATTGCCTACTTGAATTTTGGATGTTCCTTTGCCTATAAAAGGGGACCTTGGCCACGATTTTGAAGCATAAATCCTCTCCATTATATTCTAGTTTCCTTCATTTTCTTTGTAACATTTCACTATGTATTTCTAAACATTTAGCTAGAGCTAAGGGTGAAACTTTGATGAATGTTTCGTATTGTCTTTGATCTTTCATTTTGTTCTTCAATGTTCATCTTCTTACTTGGTTGAAGTTTGTGTTCTACAAATGGTTTTGGTTTGTTAAAGACTTTGATTTATTGTTGACAATTTTGGCACAATAAATGCTTAGATAATCTCTACATACCAACAACTTATTTTGACATATTCTCTCAAACAATTATCAAGATCTATCTTTTAGTATATTTGTGGTTAATGTTTTATCTTCCATATGAGATGACTCCTTAGTTGATTTTCATATGAGTTAAATTAAAGATCAAGGGCAATTTCTACTCATTTATCCAAAGTGAATCCCCGATGCTCTAGTGTTTGTCTTCATCGTATTTTCACCAACCGTTTATTACTCATAGAATAGTTTATTTCCTTCCAATTCCCTGTGGTTCGACCTCGGACTTCCGAGATTTACTACTTGCGACAACCTGCACTTGGGTTTGCAAACTTAAAGTTGTAGCATCTGCCCAAGACTCCGTGGTAAGCCGACCAGCTGTCAACTATGAGGAATTCCATGAAGTTTATCGTAGTTTATGGAGACTCTCCTATCTCCACTGCTAGTGTTATCTTTCCCCTCGGAGTGATGCTATCTCCAGTAAATCCGTACAATGGAGTGGTGGTGGGTGTCAACTGATGGTCCAATATCATTTTGTCAAAGGCGGACCCAAACAGGATATTGACGGAGCTGTCGTTGTCGACTAGCATTCATTTGAGCCCATTCCGGGCTATGAAAGCCCTCACCACAAGCGCATCGCAATGGGGGTAATGAACTCCTTCGGCGTCTTCCTGGGTGAAGACAATGGGTGGTACTTGGTTTTTTCGAGAGCTATTGTCCATAATGTAACTCGTCAAAGGGGGGTGTTTAGCCTCTCGAGCATAATTTCTTTTGGCGTTTCATGTTTCACCACCAACATAAGGGCCTCCAAATATGGTATCCACCTCGTGGATAGGGGCCTTGAGTGTACCGATTTCTTCGGTGCCTACGCCCTTCCCTGGGCCTCTCTGCATCATGCTCCCTTCGTCGTGGGGATTCATCCCTTTGACGGGGAGCGGCCTCCTCACGCCCACGTCGGTTGTCGTGCCTAGATGGGGGCCTGTTCATCTGGGGCGAATCATGTCTGTCTCTGGTGGGTTCCTACCGAGAGCGGTGTGCATAGTCTCTGCAATCCGCGGTGTCATGCCCGTAGGACCTGTGGTGCAAACAGTATCCTGGGAGGTTCGGATTGGACCTATTTCTAGGTGCAAAGCCTCGGCCTCTCCCTCTGTGGGTCCCTGCTGGGCCTCCATCTGATGTGGGTCAGCAATTGGGTTGACATCCTCATATGTCAGGGTAGGAACCGCGTTCAGAGTTGTGGTGGCCAGTGCTTGTCCAGAGTTCTCATTTTCGGTTTGGTTCATCTGCTAGTCCATGAGGTGGGAGATCGGACCCCTACCTCGCTACCTTTGAGGAGGTAGGAGGCCTCTACTTGCCCTGTTCCTATGCTCAATCAATTCTTCATTGATTATCTCCCTTCTCATCATCTCTAGTAGGGCGTCATAGGTGGTGGGGTCTTGATTCTGCACATCCCTCCAGAATAGGGTGTTCATGTTCAGGCCTCCCCTCAATGCAGATAGTGCTTCTCTGTCGATGACTTGTACGCAGTAAGTCATCTCATCGGTGAAGCGTGATAGGAAGCTCTTTAGGGACTCCCCATGTGCATGTCTCATGTCTTGTAGACGCTGGATGGGGGCCTCTCCTTCCTTGCTCACTGCGAATCGCTTCAAGAATGTTGTCTTGAACTCAGGCCAGCTTCGGATGCTCCCAGGTGACAACCTGCTATACCAGATTTCAGCCGCTCCACTGAAGGTTAAGTGGAAAGCCCTGCACTTCACGGCTGGGGTGGCACCCCTCAGGCTCATGTGAGTTTTGTAAGCGTTGAGGTGCTTCTCCGGGTCGCCTCTTCCGTCATACTTTGGTATTTTTGGCATGACGTAGTGGCTCGGGACCTGGGCATTCCTTAGTTCTCTTGAGAATGGCAAGTTCTCATCATCATCGTCCAAGTCACAGGACCTCTGTTGCTCATCAGAATCGTAGTCATCGGCCTCGTACCTTGGTTGTTGGTGAGAGGGTCCGGGCCGGTTCCTAGCCTCTTCCTCCCTCCTTTGCGGCCTACTTCTAGGCGGGGCAGCACGGGAGGCATTTTCATGTCTTCTCTCCGGCTGCTGGGGCATTGGAGGTGGAGGCTGTAGCCTCGTCCGAGGCTGCTGAGCCTGCTGTTGACTGAGCCTCGGTTCGGCGAGGCTAATTCTGTCAAAAACACTGCCAGCTCTCCTATGTCTTGGATCTTGCTCATATGGAGGTGGAAAATCATCGTGGCTTATTTGGGCCTCGGTGGGTCGACCAGAAGCATAGTTGGAGGAAATGTCGACTCCCACTTCCCTCTCGAACGGGCTTCCACCTCGGCCATAGTCTAGCGAGGCAGCCCTATGACTCTGAACCTCGTCCTCTTGCTGATAGTGCCTGTGGGGGGGCGTATGGAGGAATGGGGAAGCCTCCCTGGCCTTGCATTCATGGCCAAGTTTTGGTTGGCAATATCCCTCATGTTGGCTGCCATGGTAGCCATTTCTCTTGATAGTCGTGCTATCGCACTCATTCCACCTCTCCTTTGGTGGTGGTGGAGTCTCGACTGAGCTGCTGGGGCAGCAGGCTGGGGAGGCACATTCGTGCTTTCTCTTACCCTCCTAGGGGGAGTATTTTCGTTAGAACTCATTTTTCTTTTATCAAACTTAGATTTGTCCAAGTGATAGGGGTTTCTCCTGTTCTTTTTCAAGAACAAATCTTTTTTCAAGGGGAGTTGCCCAAATGTTTTTTAGTAAGCTTTTACCACAAGGTTGCTCGTGGTTATGGTATGGTTTTCCACAGACGGCGTCAATCTGTTGACCCCAAAAAGTGCGCCAACAGATGCCGGTCCCACCCGCGCTTGCGTGGGCGAATGTCCAATACGCTAAGACACGTGGACGGTCTAAAACGAGCGGTTCGAAGGGCGTGGGAGTAGCCCAACGACGCGGGACGGTGACGTTCGGAATCCGACGAGTTGTTCGTAGTCCGATTGTATAATAATTACCAACCGGTGTTCATAAATGTATATGTAAATGTGTATAAACTTGATTTGTGTATTGCAAGTAAAATGAGAGAGAGTTGAGTAAATGTAGTTCTTTGTATTGATTCTTGTATTAGCCTTTTGATATTACATAAGGGGAATATTTGTAGTAGTACATATGAAATGGGAGCCCTTGGATGAAGTGGCACGTGGTCTCATATCTTTAGTTCAAACATCTTTTCCTATGTATGGGGCTTGACTTGCTAGCTTGCGGCGCATTTATTACTTGTGCAGGGCCTCTATGCTAGTGACAAGACTTGACCTTTATGCTTATAACAAATGTTCCATCAATCATTTGAATAAGATCTGTGCAGGCAATCTCTTGGGAGAAGTAACCATGGAGGATGTTTCCTTGTGGTTCAGAGGCTCGCGCATCAGCTTCGGGGCTTCGGCCATTTGTCATGATACTTCCACTTGAGGACCTCAACTGCTCTCAACAGGTTCCAGCAGCCTGGTTTCGGTTCGTAGGCCTCGGTCAATGGGCCTCGGACAAAAAGGAGCCTCGGCAGATGGATTTCGGCTTGAAGCAGTTCGGATGTAGCCCACCTCGGCATTGTGTGCCACCTCGGCAGGAATACCACGTGGATCGCCATGAGTGGGCCATTGTCCCAGGTAGGTTGGCCAGGTGTGACAATACGCAACAGATGTTACTTAAAAAAAAAATTTAATTTTTGAGATTTGAACCATAATTTCTTGTTTCGAATTAGTTTATTACGAATTTATAATGAAAAATAATACATTCAAGTCTCAAAATTGATAAATATCGCGGAGAAGAATACACAATTGTCAACAGGCAACAAAACCATTAAATACAACTGTTTTATGGAAATCAATATGATAGTGTAGATGTTTACGTTCTTAATTTATCTTAATTCATTTTTATTGTCTCAGTCCCCATTTGGCAAAATTTAAAAACGAAAAATCAAATTGTCACTAACTTTCCAATCAATTATACATATAATACATATATGCTATCATGTAAGGCACAACCACGGAAGTAATTAAAGGAAAAATTTATGTAGTTGATTTATATCGATCCGAGTTTTGCTTCTCTACAGGCTAAAAATGAAAGTATTTGCAACACACACTAAAAAGAAACGATAATTAGGAGCTTGTTTAAGCTTCGTTTTTATTGAAGAATGTATTTTGGAATAGTAGATCGATACAGAATGTGTAGTTAAAAAATAAGAAACAATTTTAAATTTAAGTGTAATATTATTTTATTGAAGAATTTGTAATTGAAACGAAGAGCGAAAATTATATTTTGAAAATAATGGATTCAAACAAAGGATGTATAGTTTTGATAAAATATTTCAAACTTCAATACATGAAAACCATAAATTATAAATCGTTTAACGTATATATTTATAAGACGTTAAAATATTGAAACATAATAATTAACTCAAGGCCAGCCAACATGTATGAATGTGTGCTTAATATTTTTGACATATAGATGGTGGGTTTCTTGACCGTCAATCTATATTGTGTGCCAGCCAGCCATTGTATTCTCCTCTCTTATCGCTTCTCCTTAGGTTGGTTTAATTGCCATTGATTACCTGTTATAATTATAGTCTTGAAATCTTATTTACAGAACTTGAATCGGGTTAATGAAGATTTTGCTTCTGTCACCTTTTCTTCTTCCCCCGATAACTACATAACCTTTGAATGCCAAGAGTGCAGGAGTGCAGGGAGAGAAGAAGGAAAGTTTGAGAAAAAGGTAGATCCCCAGGCCATCCATTTCAGATTAAGAAAAAGGTAATTTTGTACCAAAATGAACGATCTTTTCTCAAGTTCGTTTAAAAAATACCAAGACCTGAAGCATCAGGTTCAAATGGAAGACCTTGAAGCTGGTGGAAATGAGTCTGTCAATCTCGATAGATTTTTCGAAGATGTAGAGAATGTCAAAAAAGACATGAGTGATGTAGAGAAATTCTACAAGAGGCTACAAGAATCAAATGAAGAAAGTAAAATTGTGCATAATGCTAAAACCATGAAAGAATTGCGAGCCAAGATGGATTCTGATGTAGCCCAGGTTCTTAAACGGGTTAAGGTTATCAAAGGAAAGCTTGAAGCACTTGAACGTTCCAATGCTGCTCAAAGGAAGATCCCTGGTTGCGGTCCGGGTTCCTCTGCTGATCGAACAAGGACTTCTGTAGTTAGTGGGTTAGGGAAAAAACTGAAAGACCTGATGGATGATTTTCAGGGTTTGAGGGCAAGGATGAATGCAGAATACAAAGAAACTGTTGGTAGAAGATATTTCACAATTACGGGAGAAAAGGCGAACGAAGATTTGATTGAGAATTTGATATCCAGTGGCGAAAGTGAATCTTTCCTTCAGAAGGCTATTCAAGAACAAGGGCGTGGCCAGATTCTAGATACGATTTCAGAAATTCAAGAAAGACATGATGCTGTGAAGGAGATTGAGAAGAATTTGATTGAGCTTCATCAGATTTTCTTAGACATGGCTGCACTTGTAGAAGCACAGGGGCAACAATTGAATGACATTGAAAGCCACGTGGCGCACGCGAGCTCTTTTGTTAGGCGAGGCACCGAGAATTTGCAGGAAGCCAGAGAGTACCAGAAAAGCTCCAGAAAATGCACTTGTATTGCTATTCTTCTCATTATAGCCGCCATTCTCCTCCTCCTTTTCCCAGTTTGGTCACAATTTTTGCTTCGTCTGTAGAAAAATTTAAGTTACAAGAGAGAGAACAACTTGCTGGCATTTGAGAAATCAAGACAGGTTTTTTGTGCATTAATTTTCGGGATCTTTTAGCATGTATTGTTGCCTCTTGCAAGTGTTTCAATCTTTCAGCACTTCTTTTTGACATAACACTAATTAGTTGACATTGTAGACATTTATATTTTGTTTCCGATCGAAATAATAGATTGTCAGTGTCCCCTTTGAACTATGTAATACCGTTCTTTATCACCTGATGTTATTTTTTCTGCCTGTAGCTTCCAAACGTATTTTTTTCTCCTGTAATTGATGTCATTTTACAGCCTTTGGTCGTGCAGTCGATCGCGCCTCATTTTTCCCTTCCTTCAGGCTAGCTAGTTGGCGAGGGCAGGCTGAGGGCGATTTTACCCCTGCTAATATTCTGATTCCTAAGGCAGTAAGAAATTTACTGAACAAATATAGACAGTGATTGGAGTGGATCTTTTTACCTTTATAGGGTGTGGCTTGCTCTCTCTTCATAGAAAATGGAATGCAAATTTTCAGGGTATGGAAAATTTATAGAGTGATTTCAAGCAATTTCAGTTGAGCTTAGGTGAGATTGTAGAGTCTGGTAGGAGAAGATTTTCGGATGTGATTGACCTGTTAGTTTTGGATATACGTGTTTGTTGGAGTTATAAGGATCATCGAACTTGAGTGGCCCGAGGGATGCTCAAATCAATAGGATGCAATGACTTTTAGATCCCGAGCTTCGTGGAGCAGAGATATTTGTATTAGTCAATACAATATTTCGATGTCAGTGGTGCATGCTCGGTGGATGTTGTGATGGAGACTTTCCCCTTTGGATCGTCGGTTGAAAGCTAGATGTGACTTCAGACTACATTAGCATTACTTAGATGATAGTTTATTTCAAGAATAATGTTTTATGTACGTAATGGAGTTACATAAAGATGAGGTCTCAAAAGAGAGTGGAAATTTCTTCTTCATTTTTTTTTTTTTTTAATTTGGTTGATAAAATTTTGACCTAATCACATCTCATCACATTATGTATATGTAAATTATTATAAATTTATGTACATATAACACAACTGTTATTTCAAAATCAACTCGTCTCCATATCTTTAGAAAATGACTATTGCTGCAAGCCCTAAATCTTGTGTAGGGTAATTCTGTTCGTAGTGTTTCAATTGTCTTGATGCATAGGTTACAATAATTTCGTGCGGCAAGAGAACTTATCCTAAACCCTTTTTGGATGCTAATTTAAGATGACAAAATCTTCCATGCTCTTTCATATGGTCATAACTGGAGCGGTGACCAATTGTGCTTTAACGCTTAGAAGCAAGGCTTGTACTTATCTGTACATTAAACGTTCACATTCTTCCGTTGACGAAGGTAGCTAGCAATCTTACAAAATCCTTCTATGAAACGTTTATAATATCGTGGCAATCCTAAGACACTGTGAACTCCTCTGACATTGTTGGGAAAGACCACTTGGTTACTACTCCCGTTTTGCTAGTTTCTGGTGTTTTAGACCAATTTGCAATTACTTATTTTTCCAGAATTCCTGTCTTAAGAAGGCTTTTTTGTCTGGCTTTCATGGCCATTTCCCTGTCAATACATCCAAAGAGTAGAAATAAAGATTGTGGAGAGCATGGAATTATGCTAATTGGCAGGATCTTAATATCTAATGACAGAAATGAAACAACATAAGTATATGAAAATGAAATTAGACATTTAGCTTTCTGAAAGACAACTAAAACTCTGGCTCATCATTTTGTTCTTCGCTCTCTTCTTCCAAGTTTGTTGACGATTCAGTAGAAGTACTCATTTCAGATGCAGTTTCTTTGATGTCCTCCATCTTTACATCATTTTTCTCTGCAACTTCTTTCGGTCCAGATTTCTTGTCCACTTCATTATCATCCCTATCGTCTATGTATTGCTGGATGGTGGAGTCTTCTTCTCTGGATTTTTCATTTTGTTCTGTTTTTTCAAGTTCATGCTGGTTAAACGATCTGCTATCCTCGCTTCTCGTAAGATTCACTACTTTCTGGCTCATATCTTCACTATCTATAGGTTTTACATGATCTGGTAACATGATGTTGCCATGCTCCAAAGTAGACTTGTTTTTCATTCGAAAGCTTGTGTTCATATCTTGATTTTCATCTGATTTCCCTTGCATTGCTCCATTACTGTCAGAATCCTCCTCGCTTTCTATATGATGTTTGATAAGTGTTCTCCATCTCTTTCCTCTTGTCCTATTCAGGTGACCATGTTTCCCTCTCAATGTATACCTTCCATTTGTAAAGTTACTCTTCATATCTAACTTCATCCGACCCTTGTGATTCACTGAAAATTCTTCATTCTCACCACCTTGAAAATCTGGAAATCTTCTTAACGGACCGAAGTCTGCTAATGTTCCAAGTTCTTTACCATCGGTAGAATGGAGTTCTCTATTTTCATTTCTAGGCTTTTTCTCTTCACTGGTCGTCTCAATTTTATTTTCACCCTTCCTTTTCTCCCCCATTTGAAAACTATTTTCTTCATTTTGATTGTTAGAGGCATATTTTGGGTCAGTTCTCTTGCCAACATCAATTTTTCCATATCCAAAACCGCTCTCTTGAGAACCTTCTATCGTTTCAGATTCATCTTCTTCAGTCCTTTCCCTTGTGACGTCCACAAACATCCCATTTTCCATTCTTTTCTCGTCTTGATCTCTATGATTCGAGGCATCATATGTTGAATTTTGTCTTTCTTCATGGTTGCTAGATCCATGCATTTTTCCATTATCATCTTGAATATCATTGACCTTCACTTCACCACTTGTTGACATATTTGTTCCAGCTGTTAAATTTACCGAAGAATTTGATGGATCATTGCTGCTAACTGACCATACCTTGACAGGGGACTCGAGATGGCGCTTCAAATCCTCAATTTCAGCTTCTTTTTGTCGTAAGATTTCAGACAGAGCTATAACTTGAGGATTTTGATGACTACCTTTACCATATTTCTCTTTGAATATCTTAGCCTCATTCTGCATCTCCTGAATGGCCAATTCAAGAGCCTTTTGTTCATCTTTAAGTGAAGAAATTGTGGATTGCATCTCTGAAAGCCTGCCATTAAGTTTTGTCTTCTGTGTTCGAAGGTTGTAAATTTTCGCTTTCATCTCTTCCATTTTCGTTTTTGCACCTTGTGCTTGTTCTTTTTCCTTCTGTTATGTTATCCACCATAGTTAATCATATCGAGTCAATTAGTTTATCAGACAAGCATCCTAGAATGAAGAAAACATTAACAATCCTATATTCCTATTTTTCAAAAAGTAACATTACTGCATAAACAAAATTTTACAACTTCTGGCAATATTTCTAAGCACTATATATATACACATACATCATACAT